CAAAACACGCTGATGATATGCACAAAGTGAATCTTCAGAAGTACAGTGTACTAGTACACTGGGACGTAGCGGTGATGGACTGAAGTGGGAGTTGTTTACTCCAAAGTGCGAAAAATCACTCACGCCAGATACAGTATATAAGCACTGATTCCAAAACTATTCCTGCGAAGCACGTTCCACAAATAGCTGCTGTGAAGTATTTATCAGGGAAATGAAGTGTGGAAATAAAACATCAAAACTGAAAATGACACATGCAATATTGGAGTAGCCATGTGGAAACTATTAAATTGACTCTTATAGAGGAGGAAACATGTAGAGCATTGATTCCAATAGGTTTGTGCACACGAGATGAATGTGTAAGTTCCACTTACTGGCATCATGTTGTTGATAAATGCAGTTATTTGTTACTACGAAGAATGCTGAAGAGGGAGTAAAAATGGCAAAACTAGAAAGCTAGAAAGGACGGCCTATATCTTTTAATTCAGAAACAAAAGCCCCAAAGTAAGAGGGTCAGTGTGCATAATACAGTCATACAGAAAATACTGCACCTCAAAGAACAGCTTCATCCCGATATCGTTTCATAAGTGGCTTTCGTTACGCTGCCAGGCTAATTGGGGAAACTGACCTAGGACATCTGCTCTGACCTCGCGGCATTTAAAGATGGGCATTGTCAAAACTGTGTGCTTCAGCAGCTGGTAACAGTCAAAGAGAAACCTACTGCACTAACTCTTTGAAGAAAGGCAAGGCTGAATGGCTAGAGAGCACTGGAAAAGGCCAGCAGGGAAGACCGCGGAGGCATTTTAATCCCCAGATCACTGATTGATTATTTCCTTTAGGATGAAGACGTGACAGGGCCTTAAAAGTGTGCCATCCTGTCCTTTATTGTGTCTAAGAAAAACAAAAGTTTATTGATGGATGGGGGTGTCTTCCTTCCGAGAGAGAGTTGAGCTAAAGAAGTCAGGGGCGGTGGGGCTGTTTGTTTAGGTGGAGCTGCACCCTTTTAGTGAGCCAAATCTTTGGTCACATTGTGGGTGGCCCAGCCTCCCCCCTCCAAGCAGCTGCTCCCTAAGCACAGGTTTGCTAGCATGTCACAGGCCTTCCTAAGTCACCGTTGTGTTTATATGGCTCTTCACAGCTATCACTGACCCCTCACCACCCAAATACTGACTTGCTCCGGTCGCCGTTTACAGTCCGATGTCCCCTGGGTAACTAAACAATATACAGTATATCAGCAAAGCAGCCTGTTTGCTATATTATTTTTTAAAGGTGCTTTTCTGGGAACTGGTGGAGATAAGGACAGTCAGGATATACTGTCCTTATCTCCACCTCAGTGATAATGCTTGCTGATATGGGTGTTAAATAGCTGAAACAGGCATTACCTGGTTCTTACACCCTTAGAAAAAAGTTGACTGCAGGTGCAGGAGTGACGTTTCTCTCTGACAAGACGCAGGAGAAAGGTCGCTCCTCCATCATACACTATCTGCTACCATGGCACTTATTAAATAAGTTCAAGTAGACAGCTGCTTCAGCATGCCTAGACTGCAAAGGAACAAGAAAAGGTTTATTCCATGCTGAAAAGAGAAGGAAAGAAGCACAACGTTCCGGCGCCCAAAGAAGGCTCCACAGCTGAAACATTGTGTTTCTTTTCTTCTCTTTTCAACATGGAATAAACTTTTTCTTGTTCCTTTGCAGTCCACACATACTGATGCAGCCATCTACTAGGCATGTTCTCCAACTGTTCAACACACAACCAGAAGAAATAACCAATTCTTCTGCACACTGCCGAGGCTGCATTACAGCCCCTTAATAAGACAGTGGTTTTCTGACACCTGGGTTACACATCTCCCAAGCTGGAGAACTTCACTGTCTACGATATAAGCACATCAAGGCTGCACTGTGTTAAAACCTAATGCAACGCCAGTCTCTTAAGGTTTAAAGCTTTTTCACCCACACTTTTCTAGTGACAGTGTCATCCAGGAGTCAGTCCTGTAAGTTCTGTAATACTCCATTTATTAAAAGCAAAAAAAAAAAGTTAATTGCATTAATGGAACCCCAGCAATGTAAACAATATATTAGTGTTTCCTGACACTGTTTTACTGCTTTCAAAATAATGAATCCAATCCCCCACCCCAGCCAATTCACTGACCTGACATCAACAGGATACTAAAGAAAACACTGACACATGTGCATGGCCAATTAAATACTATACAGATAAAAGCTTAACTAGTTATTTTTTATAAAATCTGTAGAACTTTTAACTGTAAAACAAACAAAACTTGGTTTTGCGCCAAATGAGACTACAGGTTCATTAGGGAGATGATAAGGAACTTCCTTTTCTAATCTCACTCTTTATGATGCCTGACCACTCACCCACTCACATCTCCCTGAGGGACTGGACTCCAGATAACCCAGGGTAAGGAGAATAATACATCTAATTGCAAGATTAACAGCAGGAAGAAATACCTCAAAACAAAGCAGGGCCTACATGTAATTCAGAAGATTAATCTTAAGGAAAACACACCAGGACTATACAAACTGCATTTTACCTCTGCTGTCACAAGCCCTGAGCACAGACAAGGCCACAGTTGCAATCCCAGCCTCAGAACACACACAGAAGGGGTTTCGAATCCCTTCAGTCAGCCATTTCTGGGCTTGGATTTCATGAAACATTGGTAAAGATGGTGCTGAAGTGTTTCGATTAATCTGAAAACGTCCCTTTTCATATGTGAGCCAACCACAAGACCCAGAGCTGGTAATTATACAGTAAAAATGAGAGTCGTGAGAGTCACATTTGACATGTGAAATCATATGTACAATACAATTTGTACTGTAAAATAGGCTAGGATGCTCTTTAAGCCACTAATTGTTGTCACTGTTGCACACTGTTACAGAACAGCTCAGTAACACAAATTCACAACATAAAGAGCCTTTCTGAACCAGCCACACACTTACATCAGTTACAAAGAAACTGCAACACACAAAAGAGCTTCTACACTAGTGCACATTAGTTATACATAGAACTGTCCAACCCATATCTTTCAGACCCTTAATACAGAAAGCAAAGGGATTAGAAGATAATTCCCTCAGGGCACAAATACAAATAAATACAACAGGTAATTCTGCATATTGACATGCATGGTTCGCTGCACATCCTGATACCCAATACTGTATGTGTTTAATGCTACACAAAACTCTCTTTGTCCGACGCAAGTACTGTAGACGCATTTTCACTCAAAGTAAACTGTAATGAAAGCTTTATGTCAAACCCTCACTTAATCATTGCTAGAGGATCTGAGACAAGAAGCAAATGCATGTCTGCAAGATCATTAAACCAAGAACAGTTTCCTATTAAGATTAAAAGTGTGGGATCAGTGGGATAACATTTATGATTTAGAACTTGTCTATACAGAATTTTAAAAATTCTTAAGGGAAAGGCTTTAACACTACAGAGAGTATCATAAAATACTCAGCTTTTTACTTTATATAGAAGCAGATAATTATGTTTAGACCTTCAATTTTAGTACATTCCCCTAACTACTGCCAATTCTTGAATATAAAATATTTCCAGTATCCCTATAAATACAAATAGCAATAAAAAACTGGCAGTGATTACAAACTACATATTTCATTCTTTTGGATAAAAAAATCAAAGATTTCTGAGCCCATAAGATCTTAATGTGTGAAGTTTGTAAATCAAAAGCTTGAAAGTGATTTAATATGCATTGCTTACTTTTAGATTTAACTAAACATTAAACTGAAATATACTGTACAAAATAATTGATGTTTTTACATACACAGGGTGTACTGGGAGACACTGAATGCGAAACTGCCTGTTTGAAATCAAGAAATCAATTCGTTATCTTGATTCCTGTTGTTAATGCTTTGATCAGATGAATATTAACATCACCTTTCTTGCTACCTTGATCTAAATCAACCAACTTCTTCTCTCCTAAACACTGCCTGCCTTTCAGGATTTGTGCTAGCATGTTTGCATGTATATTTATCACAGCTATGTTAAAATCTGAAATCTGTGTCTTCAGTCTGATTTGTACTGAATCTCACAGCTGTGAGCAAGGCTAAAAGCTGTTCAGAACACTGAACTGAACGTCAACACCAGAAACACTAACATGGAACTGTATCTTCCAGCCTTCCTGTCACATCTTCAGTCTCTCCAAGTTTAGAGTGGAATCACTTCCTTACACAACACATAAACACGGTAAACTCTGCTACTTGCCGAGATCTCTTTCTGCACTTTGTCGTAAGACAAAAGGAGAGCACCAGTTTCCAATCCATCTCTGGAGACATGAAAGCTGTAACGAACAGGCTCCTGGGATCTTTCAGTAAGAAGAGCCTGGCTGAGGTCCTTAACGTAGTTCTCTCTCTTCATTTCCATCTCCTTAGCCTCTCTGGACACCTCCTCTTCAGACACTAGGTTTGCAAGCAGAAACAGAGATACAGTAAAACCTGCGTCCTGTCTTCTTACCATAAGATTTATGTGCACATGCGAACAATAGATTGGAGACGGAGTTGAATGACGAAACCGGTTCTTATCTAAAACTTGTGTTATATCTGAAGGTAATGGGCCACGTAACCTAATGTATACAGCACCATCATTTGGGAAAAAAAAACATACCTTTAGTTAGAATACAGTACTAACAATTCTGCTTTATGATAGATAATGCAGGATTTACAGACATTTATAATGAGCTTTGAAGATATGGTTTAAATTATGTTTGTATACAAATTGTCATTCACTGAAATTCACTCTATATTTAAAGTATTAAAGGTACTGCCGAAGTTTTCATCCCCTTCAAGAGCTGCACTGAAATAACCTTTAAGAATTTGCTTCACTATTCTATACTCATGCAAAAAAAAAAACAGTGTGCAGAATATGCCCACAATTATTATGAGTAGACGGCTGATTAATGAAAGACCTTTCATTTTGGTTTTAAGGCTAAAACGAGATATCAAAAGTTACTGATTTAATTATAAGAAACTGACTGTGTGGAAGATATCTGTCTGAATATAATAAGAACATTGTCCTAAAGATGGTGAAGACTCGTTACACCTAACAACAGAAGAGCCCTTAGAATCACTACTGACTAATAAAAGGCATGTAAAGTCTGGTACAACTGGTACATAATGAATGCTGCACTATCCTATTAAAAGATCTGCCCATTATATGTATGGAAGATATATTTTCATGTTTTTCATTGCATTTCAAATAATATGTATTGAACGAATTGGGTAACTATAATGCTCCTTGCTCCAGTATGTGTGTGGTGTACGAGAAATTTCAGGATACAATGATAGGAGTCATTTCTGTCAAGTGTATATCAATCAGTTATAACATTCTGCAGAATCAATCAGCTAGGTACAGCTGTTCACATACCGTATTACATTAGATTCAAGGCTGATTATACACAGAAGCCAGGTTGAGAGTTTCAATCACCACCAGCAATCACCAGATCCAACATCATGTATCAACAGGTGTGCTTTATTGCAGTTCAATCAAAGCTCTCAATGTCTCCATTTGAGTTGTCATTTTTGTGAAATATATCCGTCCAGTCTGAGCTCAACACTGCAGGTGTCCATATACATATGCACACTACAGCATATTGATAAGAAAAACCAATCCTGAGAATAGAATTTCTGAATTACCTAAATAACTGCACTATCAGTTATAAGTTTCTGTTTGTGAAGCTGATGTGAAGCTCATGAAGCAGATTGTGAATTCTTTGATTTGTCAGTTTTGTGCAACAATGTTACTTTTTCTCCATATCACTGATTCAAACTGTATGACTGTATGATTCATCTGTATGACACATTGTTTTCTACTAATCATAAGACAAAACAAAAAGACAAAATGAAAGATCTGTCAGAAATCAGAAAAAGGAAGTAGTTGGCTAATTCATTTGCTACATTGAGTCAGATAAAAAAATAAGGATAATGCATTATAGAATGGAATGAAATGACAATGCTGTATTAAAGAAACCATACCTGAAAACTGAGGGATATGAAAAAGAAATCTATTTACAGTGTAGGTAGACAGAAAACCGCTTTAAGAGCTTGATTTTGTAACAGGTAAGATTTCACTCAATGTTCCAGTGCCAGAACATACAATATAGTGTATGTTGATATGGGTAATTAAAACAACAGGTTTAATGCTGGGCATTATGAGGTTGAGCTAAGGACAGGGCATGAAACACTAGCCAGTCCAAGGAAAAGTGATACGCAAATTGCAAAACAAATCTCCAAAACGTGACTTTAACCCTTTTACAGTCATCTACACACAAGCTGCTTTACCGGATGAGAAAACACAGAACGGCAGTGAACTTTTAAATGTTCTACTGTAATGTGTAGCATTTTTTCTGGACTGGCAAAGATAAATAAAAGCTTTGGCATCCTTCATCGTCTGTTTGGGTCTTTGTGTGTTCAATGATTTCAAACAGAAATCGGAATGTCATTGCCTGGTTCCTCTCACCTGCTCCACTCCAGGCAGACTGACCATCGCAGAGCACAACGCTGAAGCCCGACCCAAGATCTTCCCCCCTCTTCACCCGCAAGAAGAAGATTTTGCCCGGTTCAGAGGAAATGCTGATTCGACGCACACTGGTACCCATTCCTCCACACTCTGGCAAACACAATCGATCAGACTTGCTCCAGGACCTGAGGCAGATATAAGACAATCAATCTGATTTGAAAAAATCTACTTTTAAATATTGAATCTTATCTTGAAATCTCATGACAGTAACCATGTTTTAGCTTGTGTTTTCCCACATAGGAAAGGATCTCATAGCTTTCTCAGATCTTCTGTCACCTAGTACACTTGCACTTGCAAGGCAGACTTGTTCTCCCAGTATGCTGATGTTCTTGGAACGTCATCCTTATGAAATACTCTTTTCTTTTAAACAGAACAATACACTTTAAAATGAGATTTTTTTTTGCAAGAAATATTTAAATAGGCCTTTGAGAAATACACACAACAGTCCATATTCAACAGTGATTGCAAAAGTATTCAGCACCTGCCAATAATATTACATTAGGATGCATATACTTATTTGCTTTTACAAATGAACTTTGTTTTATTTAAAACTGTAATGATCAATGTCATATGTGCGGGAGGTTGAAAGTCAGCACAAAAGCTTTGCACAGTGGGATGGGGTATGTTTGTTCATTCCTCCTGACAAACGTATTTCACTCCTAACAAGTCGACTGGGGAGAATTCACAGTCAACAATCGTCAAGCAAACCTTGTCACAAACTTTCTATTGGATTCGTATCAGAACATTGAAGTGGGCGGAGCAGTGGCACTGTGGCTAAGGATCTGCGCCTGTGGCTGGAAGGTTGCCGGTTCGTATCCCGTGGCCGGCAGAGGAATCCTACTCCGTTGGGCCCCTGAGCAAGGCCCTTAACCCCAACTGCTCCAGGGGCGCCGTATAAATGGCTGACCCTGCGCTCTGACCCCAAGCTTCTCTCCTCGTCTGTGTGTCTCATGGAGAGCAAGCTGGGGTATGCAAAAAGACGAATTCCTAATGCAAGAAATTCTATATGGCCAATAAAGTGATCTTAACTAACTAACTTAAACATTCATTCCATTGTTGTCGGACCACTTCATTGTGCTTTGGCCCTGTACTGAAATGTGATTTTAGAACCGATTTTAGATTCTTGGGCAACTAAAACAAGTACTGTATTTCTCAAGACTTTGCTCCATCTATTTTCCCCTTAGTCTTGACATGCGTCTCGACTGATGAGAAGCAGCCCCGTAACTTGATGCTGTTACCAGCATACTTGAGAGCTGGGGTGGAGTTGACTGGGTAATGTGTTGTATTGGGCCTGCATCAGATGTAACTCTTTGCATTTAGACTACAAAAACATCAGTTTTTGTCTAATTTGATCATAAACCCTTCTGTTACCCTCCATGTCTGCATTGTATTTTCTAGAAGATTTGAGATGAATTGTTTGCAGGAATGTCTTCTGTCATTGCTTTCACCCATAGAGACTACCTCATGCTGGGAACAGTGATAGTGTATGAACAACAACTCCCATTCTAGACAAAAGAAACTGCAAATATTTCAAAATCACTGTTGGCTTCACAGTTACTTTACTAACCACTTACCTGCTTGCTCAGCTGCTGAGTTTGTGTCTTGGTAATATGCTGCAAATTCCAGTCCAGTTGTCAAAAATGAACTTCACTGAATTAAACTAGCTTTCTTCTACTCTATGCCTTTATCAGTTTATGCATAATTTGTTTCAACAACTCCTTGGTTTTCATGGTCAATTTGGTGTGTCACAATATGAGCTTGAAATGGCTTGAAATGCAATATCTGACTGAACTTACAGAGACAGATGCAGTTACTCTGAACTGGTCAATTCACACCACTTTGATTACACACAGACAGGGAACGTTGCATGAATGCTGTGATCTTTCAGACTGTTATTTTGCACCTCAACTGATTTAGGTCTTCCGTGATAAAGAGGGTTGAATACTTATGCAACTGAGAATCTTCTCATTTTCTATAAAGATCTCATTTATTTGCTCGCCATCAGCATTTTTACCTTTACCAGTTTGAAGTAGACTCTGTAGATTTGTTGTACTGTTATTGCAAGCTCAGACAGAAACAAAATGTAGAAGCTTTGCGGTGGGTGAATAATTGTGCAAGGCACTGTAATCAGAAAAGCAAGAAACACTTCATTAATTAATGCATCTTTTTACCTTGCGTTGATAAGTTGCACAGACCATAATGTTCTGTTTTCTCCATCACTCACAACAACAGTTGTTAAGAAACACTCAGAGGAAAATGAATGGAACAATTTTCTTCTAGGTTTTCATGTTTGGTTTGCAATTGAAGCCTTTCACAAGGCCCAGGGGTATGTTAAAAACCACATGCCTCCAAGGCTCACTTTTACTCCAAACAACACTGCAGCTTAATGAAAACAACCCCTCACTTCATAACAACCCTGAATGGTTTCAAGTTAGATAACACCAATAGAAAATATCAAATACATGCACTGATTCATAAAATTACAGTAGCTGTAGAAGCAACAGACAGGATCTTGTATGGACCAGACATGTACCATGCACAGGTACTGTATACAGTAGGTATCCAATATGAATTAGTTGGACTAGTGCACAAATATTCCAGTTCTCAGATATAAACTGCTTATACAGCAGAGAGGACAAATGTGTGCCCACTCATTGAAACAGAACCATACAATTGGATTAAAATGGATGACCTTGTGTTGACAGTGGTGATATTGATATCTGATTACAATCTTTTCTTCCCATCTAAAGTGCATTCTCAATTCAATGATACAAGGCTGTTTCTCATTTCTTTAGCTCACCCGCTGTGCAGTGGGTGATCTGCTATCCTATGGCTACCACACATCGCCAGGATACCACCTTCACTGCTCGCAGAGGGGCTAAATGGGCCAAAGGACCTCTTCTTTGCTGAATGGACTGGGTCACCTCCAACATGAAAAGTGCTTTCTAAAATGTCGAATAAACTCAAATACTGTAAGTATATTTATGGTGGTCTGCTTGAAACCTGGGACAACAGTGTAAGCTTCCAGAGCTACAAAAGGCTTTTCTCGGGGGCTGATTATAACATCTAAAGTGGAATTACGAATCAGAAAAGAGCTTCAACAATACAATTTATTGTTAAAGAGGCAACTTACTCAACCATGGACACGAACATTAATTGTGAGCATTAAACTAAAAAATGGCAGCAAGACAATATTTTATACACTGTAAGTATCAATATCTTTTGGTAATTTTCTTGGCAGTAAGAACTATAGAGGCTTGTACTCTCAGTGGTTATGGAAACTTAACCTTTGAGTACAATAAACTGCATAGAGGGGTAATGTGTCAACGTTTATATATTACTTACTCAACAAACATTCCAATAAAGAGAAAGATTAGCTCCGTGCTGAAATGACAAAAAAAAACAATTATACCTGTGGAACCCTCTTTAGGTAAGAGAATATTTACCAATTTTTTTTTTATGTACCACCATAGATGTGACGACCATAATTTGTAAACCTTTTGTGCATACGTTTGGGGACCCCTGTATCTACTGTTTTTTATCATTCTTACTGTAATCTTGTCATTGATCTGCTTGCTTGTCTTGACTTTTTTTCTTGCACTCTGCCTGGATTAAAACAAACAACAAATCAGTCATTAAGAATTTGCTCCCTTCTTTCTGATCCGAAACCTCTTCAAAGTCAATCATCGGATGCTGAACGGACGCGGAATGTCACTGTGTAAACGGGCCCATCACGACCGTTTGCTTCTTCCTTCCACTTAAGTCCTGCTGGTTATGTTTCAGCTCACACAGCGGAACGAGAGGCATCCTGAAACTGAAAACGGCTCAGGGTTGATACCACTTTCAAATGCCATGTGACTTTTTATAAGGGCTGAATGAAAATTTGCCAGACACACTTCAAACAGGACAGTGAGAGCCTTTTGACTGCGACAAAGAAATATTTCGCTGGGTCAAAAGCCAAAGGACACAGCGGTCCTTCAGGACCAGAGCTGAGAATCACTGGCCTGTTTCCTCCATGGGTATTCTTTTTATTATTATTTATTTTGTACTTTATGGGTACTTCCACGGAAAACACAGGCTGCGTAACAAAATACCACCACACAGTATGATGCCAATAATGCAACACTCCTTACATCGTATCTCAAACATATCTGAAACCATGAAGAGCCACATCAGGTTTGGCAGTGACAAATCTACCACCAGGATAAAAGTTACGGTATTGAATGACATATTAGTATATGTAATAGTATATTATGTGTAATAGAATATGCTCCAGTATGCAATATACATCAAGGCTGTGCATTTCTTCCTTACCTTTTATAAGCAACTCCAACCTGAAGGTAGAAAAAGCAGCATTTCAGCTGTGGAGCCTTCTTCAGGTGTGAAGGCTTTTAAATACAAGGTCTCGATAATTTGAGACCAGAGTTGGACGCAGCCTTTACGTGTTCCTTTGCAGCTTGGACACTGATGCAGTTCCCTATTAAAACCATTCCTACTGGACTGAGATGAACTAATTTACCCATTAAATGTATTATGTTACTGGGAAAGGGAGGTGTGAGAATCCAACAACAACACTGTGTAGTAGTAACTTAGAGATTTCAGGGACTCAAGTCTCATTCCAAGTTTCAAGGACTGTCAGTGACCCCCATGAAATGACTTCAGAATGAAGCAAATGGGTTCTTGTGAAATCACTGAAAAGTTGGCTTTTGTTCCCATTAAATGTGAAAAATGGGTTCAGCGTTGAAATATAAAAGTCTGCTTTACAGTAACGTCTTAATGTTTCATGTACAGCAGGAATTCACCTTCGCTCTCAAGATGAATAAGAACCCAGGTGCTCCCACACAGTCTCTACCTGCACCTACAAGACCCACGACTACACTTCTTTCCCCATCGCCCATCTCCCACTCACACCCACTGTGCTGCCAATCATGTTGTCTTACTGGCAACCCACATTAGGATACACAAGAAATGACCACTGGACGTGTTGAGAAAATCCCGAATGTCAAATTCTGTGATTGCACTTCGATCTCCCTAACAACCTCAGCCTCTGGGCAGTTGTTGCTTTTTACTTACTGCTTTTTTTGCTTTTTACTTATTGCTTTCTAAACTACTTGGGGAAAATCAA